CAACGACTGAACGAACCCTTCCTTCAACAAGCCATAAAATTCTCGGTATTTTTTTAAACCACAGATAATTACACACGTAACACAAGTATCGATCTAAATTGTTTATTTTTTACACCGTCAGTTGAAACGAGTAATTAGTGTGGGAGTGATTAGAGGTGAGAGCAGTTGATCGGCCGCGGCACGCAACACTAGCAGGTTCGATGCCCGACCTGCTCTCACGAAGGGCGCTCGATCAAACTACCTTGAATAAAAATCGTAATGTAAACAACCCCGTTTTACTTTGTAAAGAAAAATTAACGAAGAGTAAATTGGCCGTGATTATTGAAATAACTGGCGCTGGCCTCTGGGCTAACAGGAGACATTTAATATCGGAGAAAATATTAAGAACCATGCGAAAATTATGCGTCGATGCAATTATGTCGATGCAATTATAAGTCTTTTACAGTATAGACAGAGCATTTAAGTAGTGCCCAGTAGTTGTTTATAAATATGTTCGGTTCTGTTTGGGACTAGTACAGAAGGCACACAGTAGTAGCGTGTCGTGCTGGCTGGTGCAAACGACCCCTTAGCTCGCGTGCCCCGACCGCTCTAAGGCCGATTGAATTAGATAGACAATAGATATCAGTCATCAATCAAAACGTCCAAGAGTTTAATTGTTGAAAGTGAATTGTTTATGAACGACTACATACAATTTCTCACGATTTACTCGAGTATTGAAAGGTTCAAGATTTCACTCACACCTGTCCATTGCACTACATTAGAGGATCGAGATCAGAGGGATGGACCTCGCCCGCAGCAGCCCTTTGTGGAAAGATTCCCGGAGCGAGTGCGAGGGCACTTTGATGTCGAGCCCGCCAGGTAATTTGGAAAAACGTTATTTAATTAACTTTCGACAAGTCGGCGTAATCGTGTTACAAAGCCGCCGGGTGAACGGTCAAGTCTTTGAGCCACCGGCTAGCTGTTTCACCCGGACTTGATTTTTACGCCAAACATACCGACCATAAAGGCGCTGTCATTTTCAGGTGTTTTCCAATTAACATCGCGCCTTTGACCACGTCCGCACAAAGTAATAACAACAACAGCCTTTGTTATTACCCTGTAGTTTTATTAAAGGGTGACGGTGTAATAGAGACGCGCTTTAAATAATATGCAGCGGGATGAATTCAACTTATTGGCTGGACTATTTTAATTTTGACGGACCACAGTACCACGATGTAATTTCGTAGGTGTTCAAATTGTTATTTCATTAACAGGGCTGGACAATAGTTTTATGAGTTGCCGAAATAAGTTTGGGAGTGTTTAAACTTTGGAATTGGTTAGCGGTGCATTTTGTGTGAGCGCCGTAAGCAAGTCCGGGGCGAGACGAGCCGGCGCCCGCGGCGGCCGGCGGCCGGACGACGGTCCGCGCCACGGGATAATTAACTGTGCGAACTATCCCCTTGTCCGACAAGTACTGCAATTAGAAATTTGCTTTAAAGCGCTAATAAATATCATTAACATCTGAAACTAACTTGTGTCGAGTATGTAACGCGCTTTGTACATGAGTAGGAGAGCTATGGAGTTTGGAGCAAGTGGAGAGCTTAGATGGTGAGCTTTATTTATAAGGCGAAAAGTGACTAGTCTATGATTCTGGATAATCGATCACACATTTTTTTTTTTGAAAAACGTTGCCCCACATTAGGATTTACTCCTGTGTCGTGGGTGCGTTTTACAAACATACAAGTTCACATACACAATGACACCCAGACCCGAAACAATAATTTGTGGATCACACAAAGTGTTGTTCCGTGCGGGAATCAAACCCGCGACACGTTGCACGGCAGCCGGTTGCCCAGCCACCGCACCAACCGTGCAGTCACATATTGGTGAAATGTGCTCTTGAAGTATCATACATTAACAAAAGTCTGTGCGTTGTATCATTGAACAGCTTAACTGTTTCATGAAAGACGGAAAAAATTTTCTATAATTCTGGATACTGAGATGAAAGAAAAAGTATTTTGAAACATTCTTTCATGCAGCACTTTTGTAAAAATAGACTGAAAATATTTATTAAAAAAAAACGTCTATTTGAGAACTTTTGAATGGAGTTTATGTGTCGTACTGACCCCAAATAACTAGATATACTTAAGGTTAGGAAGAAAAAAAGGAGTTCCATTTTTGACTCTGTGTAACTAATTGAATAAAAATCTCGAAGTATGACGTAACATCATCGATTAATTTCATCAAATTAAAACAAATCAGCTCTGATTTCCTTCCACAATTTTGGTTAAATGGACCCTACAATTTCCACCAAAGCGTGTTCAATACAGGCATACAATATTTTAGTAATTATCATAGCAGTCGGTCGTTAGGTACTCGCATCCAATCCGCTCACACGGAGTGGTCGTGTCGTGAGTGCAAATGGTACACACGACTATATACACATCGAACTACACAAACCAGTATAAACTGACCGCTGCATGTTCAGAAAGCTCATACAAAGTGAGACTAAGATAAACTGGTTTTGTATTGCTCGATGTGAACCGTGTACTTGCACCCCTCATCCCTCTGTTTCGCTTATGATTCGTGAATTTTTAACACGTCTGAGAGGACTGCAACGTTGCTTTAAACCATATTGGTATTGGCTTTTAGAAAATATCCTATATATACTTTTGTTAGGCTTTTTGTCTGTTTGTCTATTGGTCTTTTGTTTTTATGGCGGGATGAAGTGATTTTGACGGTCTGGTTCCTTTATTTTGTGACGGACTTCAGGAGGGATTTTTTAAAAAGGCATACCTATAGAAAAATTACGTGTTTAAACCTGACTATAAACAGCCTTCTGGTAATTCAGAAATTGGGGCTGGGGGACAGCAAAGGAAAAGAAAGAGCGTATATATATAATATATATAATGATAAAATTTGTATAATAAAATATGTAATTGTGATACCATCTAACACACACTCCACCGTTCCGAAAAATAGTAATGAGGTGACACACGAAAAAAGAACAGGTACACCATACAGTTAATACTTGATCCTATTAATACCTGTTCCTATTAATACCTGTTACATTTCCCACAACGTATGACGTATGCGTTACTGTACATACATATGTAACACTTCCTATTACAACCGCAGTACACTACCGACTACGTGCTACCCACTTTACGACCTATGTTACTTTTATCTCTCCGCCTCAGTTACTGCAATAGACAATAGCAAATTACCTAGTTACACGACAAACGACTGCTTAATTAAACCGTTACCGACTAAAACTGCTTTTTTATCAAGAATAACTGTTTTAAAAACGTTAATTGCGTTTTGTTCGTTGGTTTGTTTGCTTGCTTTGTGTCTAGTAGATGTTTAAACCTATTAAGGAAGTGTGTTCCTAGATTTCGGAATAGGGTAGATGCCTAATTTTTATTTTAATATCCGTCTGGTAGATTATTTTAAATCATTAGACACGTATTTTTTATTTTCTTACACGAATACTTTCGACGATAATTTGAATTGAAATGTCGCGTGACGTCACGTCTATGTACATTTTATACGTAGAAATGACGTTTTAGCCCCCACTCCTAAACTTTGACACGTTTTATATAAGTATTGTTTTTATTATACGACAGAATAAAAAAATACGTGTCTAAAATTGTTTCATTATCTAACTTACGGATTAATTAGATTTTTAATTTTCATACCATGTCATCATTCCAATTATAAAATTAAACGTATCTTTGAAAATGTTTCATGTACTATGTCCACGATTTTATACAAGTATTGTTTAGTTTGCTGCCTCATTAGCCGAGCAAGTCTGACTGCTAGGCAAGGGGGGTCTCGGGTTCAATTCCCGGGTCCGGCAAAGTATTACTTTAAAAATTCTCAGAGTCTAGAACTGAGCTCGGTATATGGCAATAGGCTCACCCCCTATTACACGGGACTCATAACATAAATAGTGAAAAGTGTGTGTTACATTGTACAGTGGCATTAAGTGCTGTAATGTGCACCTCTGTATACCCTTCGGGGATAAAAGCCGTGATGTTATATGTTATTGTTCAGTTTCTTATTCTAATTTTCTCTTAGTGCTTACTTAAATTCTCAAAGGAACTTGCACGCCAGGTCATTTCAGGTTTTTATATGTATACCAGTTTTTGTTGTGTTTGGTCTATTTGTCACCAATACAACGGAAGAGTTCCAATATTATATTAGTGATAATAATACCTATTTATTTATGTAAGATGACATATGTTTGAACATAATATTCCAATAGGTACCTACTTTATTCAATCATGTCACATTTTATCAATTGTCATGTAATACTTATTTTCATTTTACCTGTTTATGACATAAATGTACCTAACTTAAAATAAAATTTATTGACATTATATGAAATTACAAGGCGGATAATGAGGGCAAACACAGTTCGACCACATCACTAAAATATACAAAATTACAAAATTCCCCAATTACGTCACGGAATTAACGGAGGTATTACTAGAAATGGCAACACCGATACCTGAACTCTCCATTCAATTTTGAATCTGTGGCGGCGTCAATCAACATGGCCCCCGGCAGACAATAATTAACGCAATTAATTAAGCTTAGGAAATACCTTAATTAATGATCACGCTAGTCACGACGTGTGAGTGTTTGCTGGCAAAGGTCAAGCGTGAACCCGCCCACGAGTTAAACCTTCAAGGGTTTATTAAAGAATGTACCTCAATCGATTCTATTAATCGATTAATTTAATCACTATTGATTCGGAAACTTTTTATTCTATTAAGTTAATCGATTTTATCGGAGTTTTATTGGAGCTGAACTTATTTGGTCGTATTGATTCGAATCAGTAATGTTGTTTGGAATAAACGCTCAATGAAGTCATGAAGAATGATTTTTAGGCTTATGAATAATTGTTTCTATGAATATATGTATGAATATATAGATATGGATGTTGGAGCACTTACTTAATGGTGGAGTTATAGCCTACGTATATGGAGTTATTAATTAGAGTGCAAGTGACCTACCTCCTCATAGTCTTTATGCGAGTGTTGTGGCGCTTGCGCGCGCGCAGGTGCTGCTCATTCGCGCGAGCGGCGCGGGCGCCCGACTTTGTTCTTGCGCATGGGCGCGCCGGGCGCCCCCGTCGCGTTAGCGCTCTTCATCAGCTTCTGCCAGTCCTGCTCGCACACTAGTGAGCCCGCGAGCATGTAATACCTGGACAAATAGATGTACTGGTCATCATCATCATCACCATCGTCGTTAGCAGCCCAAGACAGTATAGGCAAATCTATGGGCTGCCTCTACAATTCTACATACGCTATTGTGTTGGTGATTGACAATGGGCTCTTAACTATTATGGTGAAACTGATAAAATATATCTACTGAAAACTGTTCGTGTTAAACCTGTGCCTATTTCATTGTTTTGGAAATAACGTGTCAATAAGATATTTAATATGGTATTGTTACTGATACTTACCTATCGCCCTGCATAAGGTGGGATCCACATTTGGAGCAGGCGAAGCACTTTATGTGGAACACGTGGAGTGGCTGCTGTGGAGCATTCGTCCTCATCACGAACTCACTGGCAGGGATCGCTTGCCCACACGCTGCGCACGCGCCCCCTGAGCCGAACATTCTGGAACAAGACAATCTTATTTCAATATGTTTTAGAAGCTCCAATACCCCGGGCCCAGGGCTACAGAAGGCATCCTCTACATCCACCTTCTATTAAAAGAGACCAGTCTTAAATCTGAAAACGTAACAGATTAAGTAATTTCAACTTCCATCTAACTAAAGAGTCAATAAAAACGAAATTACTTAACTTTATAACTATAATTAAAACAATCTTAATCAAACAAAAAAGCAATTTAAAACCTACTTTTCTAGTTGCTAATTAAAAACTCGAACTAATTACTAGTATTGAAATATTCTCTAATGAAGTTGGGAGTATTTTAAACGGCCTGCTTCTACAGAATGTTTAAATTGAAGATTAAAATGATCGACATCCCGAGGTAAGTACTTGGAGCTAACAATTTTAACAAGCTAGCTTCAATACGTTAAAATGCCACGATTATTGCTCGTTAAGCTTTGATAAATGGATAATAAAGTAACGACGTTGACTATAAATCACTCAAATGTACATGCTTATTTGTACTGCTGTTTGAACACTAAATTATTGAGTATATTTATAAAATTATTGCTAGCTTCACGTCAGACGTTTAGCTCAAAAGTCAGTAGGATACGACTATACTATACAGTCCCAAGTGTGAAAGAGCCATGCTTCGGCACGAATGGCCCGGCTCGACCGGAGTGATACCACGGCCTCACAGAAAACCGACGTGAAGTAACGCTTGCGTTGTGTTTCGTCGCACACTCACAAGTGAAGTTACCGGAGGTCCAGCTTCCTTCTCCCTTCCCCAATCTCCCCAATCCCCTAATCCCCAGCAGTCCTCAAACTACTAATCCCCAAAAGGCCGGTAACGCACTTGTAACGCTTATGGTGTTCCAGGTGTGCATAGGCGACGCCGATTGCTTACCATCAGGTGATCCGTCTGCACGTTTACTATATGTAATGTCGTAAAAAAAATTACAGAAGTGAACTAAATCTATCCAATTTTCCGTATCAAAGGACTACTATTTAAATAGCGCTAAAGTTTTAAAACTATAGATCGACATTTGCATACTTATTGTCTGTGGTCAGATACCCCTATGACTACATTCGATGGACTGTAGGAGTATATATAAAACTTAATCTTATACCTACCTCTATTTATTTCACATTTTTTATATTATCATCATATCTCAGTTGTAAAACCTAGATTATTAGTAGGTTCTCTAATATTTAACTATAGGAGCTCGCATCTTCATCGCAATAATGCTACAAGTTCTCCGTTTCGCAATTCCATTCCGAGTTTATTCATAGCTAAGGACCACCTCGAATACCCAAATAAAACAATATATCAATGATAGAGAAATCTCTATCATAAACTTAATTACAATATATTTTCTATTTTAACTTTTCATCGCCATATTATAAAATCAATCATTCGTTCCGCAGCGATTTACCGTATAATTAATAAGGCTCATGGCGGCCATATTGAATGGTTTATTGCCAATAAAACGTGTGAATAAGACGATAAGATAATGTTTATAATGCCTTTGACGAGTGTCATCGTTGTTTGTAATTCGCGATAAAATTTAATGGCCATACTTTTGAATCATATTTTCTTTTTATCGGCTGAAATGGAAATCTTGAGGAGTTTTATTGGAGTTTCTTTAATTCTTCATTGTGTCGTTACATTGTAGTGACGTTGAAGATATCTATGTTTTACTCAGTATGGTTTCTTCCTAGAGTTCCTAGAATAGTATTGTTTTGGAAGTAGGTACGTCTCGAAAACGTAGGAACAAGTGCTAATCTGTAAGAAATATAGGTGGTCTTAGTTCGTTGCCATAAACCTAGTGACTCCTTCTGACTCAACGAGGCAGATTATTTGTAGATAAACTATGAAGTAACCTGTAACAGGTTACATGAATGAAGGTGCATAACCAGAATATAGTGGAAGTATTAATGAAATGTAACTGAAACAGCAATGAAGCTGAGAGTCTACACGACAGTCGTAACAACCTCGTTGCAGCTAAATAATTATATACTCTATTTCATTCCAGTTGAGACGTTGCTTGCCAACTATAATAAAATAAATCTATTATTATTCAGCTCGTTAACTACCATGATTCCGCATAAAGTTTCTAAAATACCTGCGGTTCTGTGCACGACCAGTAAATCTTGACGGAAAACTCGGTTTAAGTTAATGACATGACATCTTCCAAAAATTACGTCCGACTGCGCGGACGCTGGAACTGTGGCAGTTTAATAGCCGCATTTAATACTTAATGAGTCATTATTGCAATCGCTATTAGCGTCGCTGGCGAGCCCGCATTATTTACAGCCGCCCTGAATATTAATAAATCGCAATAACAATCCGACCAAAAGCAATCAAAATTTAATTACCTGCGCTTCTTAGCGTTATTCGTTTTGAAATGATTCAACGTCGAACATTGGCAATGGGTTAAAGATAAATTTGAAAGTCTTAAAAGATAAATTCGCTTCAATCACTCGGAGCAAATAGGATTTCGTTTCATTTACTCCGGTAAGAGCGTTTTCAATTAAGGAGCGCCCGACAAACAGTATCGGCGTATGAAGGTATAATTAATTAAACCGAGCCAAGACAAACATGTACGAATCTATTTGTGTTGGACGCTCGCGGGGCGGCTGTGTGCGGGAAGATGTGTGGATTATACGCGGGAAAAACACGGAAAACATACCAACATTCGATTTAATTATTAGTGTAGTAGTGTCTTGGAACCGAACCGCACATGAAACATAAATATAGGCCGAAACAAGGTTGACAGGCCAATAAATCTTACACGTTAACTTAAGTGGGTCGAACTATGAATGAATACCTAAATAAATCTACTCTTTTTGTAAACTAACCAATTGTGAGCACTTCATTTGGAGGGAAGAGATATATTAATGTTGTGATTGGCTACATCGAGGGCCACAGCCAAAGTCGTACATTATAATTAATTAACAAAATTAATACGTGTAATATTTCCTTACGAACCTTTTGAACATTACATATCACATCAATTCTTGGGACGGACTTAATTAAAATGTGGACATTAACACACGCGAAGTTGTTTTATTTATTCGACCGTGTTATTTTAACAAGTTTAGTTTGGGCTTTAACATTGCGAACTGATAAAGGTCCCGCTTAGTTCGATACCTTTCATCGCGATTTGTAATTTTATTTACGTGCGTAGTTGAAAGTTGTTAAGAAATTCTAATCGGCAACTTTTAGGTTCCCTTTCATACTGATATTAATTAAGGAGTGTGTGTTTAATAAATGCGAAAGTTTCGCGCCGTTCGTTCGCATTTGTACCTAGGGGCGCGGGCGGGTGTGGTACCTACTCGAACTTTATTTGCCTACGTTACTTGTAAAATTGAATACGTCACCGTGAATCCTCATTAATTTAAGATGTAGACTGTATCTTGACATGTTATTTTATTCATTAAGGGAGCGTCTTGAGTCTCACGGTTGTGTACGTGTCGACTTCGGATTGTTGTAAGGAACATAATTTAAAACCTCTCGACAAGATCATTAGAGCGAGGGTGTGGAAGGGGCTCGCGAGAGGGCGCTGTTATCGTCTAAATATAACGAGGTCTTACATGAAAAATATACGTAATTATCTCCGGGTTTTCCTACAGAAACAGCTCATTCGTATTGATAACTTAATTACTAATTATATGAGTCAGTAGTTAATGGTGTATAGGTAATGTTAGGTATAATGTACCAGTGACTAGTAACGAGGCTAGGCAAATGTATTTAATTAAATATCAGATTTTTCATCTTTCCTTCCTCTTCGTGTCCTTGTATGGTTATATAAAACCTGTATTAAAGCTAAATTTAATTATACCTGTGTTGGATATATTATGTACACGTAACTCGACAGTTAATACATTTTCATATTGAATTATTAAAATAATAATGTCATTTATATTTATGTAGGTAATGTATGATGGGTCAAAGTCTAATGCAAGTTTTTCATACTTTTATTCCTTCACA